AGGTCTTTTACTATATTTGGTTTTTCATTTTGACCACATTTCAAACTTAAAGTGATTTACATTAAAAGCCATACCCCATTTTTGTCATTTTAAGTTAGAGTACTGAAGGTTCTTAAAGAAATAGCATTTTGTCACACACACACACATACATACACACGCACACGCACGCGTGCGCACGCACGCACAAAACAAAACAAACAAAAAAATAATAATAAAAAAGGACAAAACAAAACAAACAAACAAAGGAAAACAAAATCAATCGAAACGAAAACTTGAAGGGCCGAAAAATAAGGCATTGCTTACCTTGATTGTTAATTATCTGCCCCTTAAATCATGTGACAAAGATGGAAAGTCGCCATATGGTCATTACAAAGTCGCTGTTGCCAGAAACGATTATTGTGCACATGAATATTAGCAAACGCACTTATATTTACTCTGTTTTGTCATGAAATAACAAAACATTATCTTTATAACGATGTAAAGTTACAAATCGTTTAATTTGATCATAAAATAACCATTCAAGGGCTATATCATATACATATATAATAAATATAGTATATAAAATGTAAAACTTTACTGTACATGTTCTCAAACGTGGCGGACTCACTAAATTTGAAACCTCGCTATAAACGTTGACAGCCGAGAATTAGCCATATTTTATGCCAAAGTACACATAATCATTGCAGTACGGTAGCCAGAGAATGTAAGGGCAAATAGACCCTACAGAAACCTTTTGTCTTATATCTAGATCCGTAGACATATCAATTACATAAGCAGAATTGTTTTCCTATGTTCATGTCTGGGCTTGTCATATTTAGGAAATATGATATCCGCAATCAATTACTTGCAGACGACTTCTGGCTTCCTCATGATGTGGTTTATGGTAAGATATTGATAACAGGCTTATAAAAAGTTGGAATATTACGCAACATTCCGTTCCTTATTAATATCAAAGAGCTGTCAATATGACACTTGGGGTATTAGAGAGTATATTGTAATTTTGTGGTCTTCCGGATAAATATTAAAAACGGATATAAGTAAGAATGGGATATCAAAATATACATTTGAACCGCGTCTCGACAAAACCAACATAAATCGAGACCAGCCTGCGCATCCGCAAAGTCTGATCAGGATCCATGATGTTCACTTACAAACCCTATTACAAGTAGAGAAACTGATAGCGAACAGCATAGATCCTGATCAGACTGCGCGGATGCGCAGGCTGGTCTGGATCCATGCTGGTTGCAAACGCATTACGTTGGTTTTGTCATGACACGGCTCATTTTATTTCACATAAGATTTATTTGAATTAGTCTACGAAACGCTATATCATCTATGTAGCCGTAGACCCTAGATCAATGTTTTTGTTTTTGTTTGCTTAGGTTGACGGTGGAATTTAGGTTATATGGCGTCGAAAAAGGATAGATGAGTGTGTAACTGTGTTACAAACTTAAAACAACACCAGTCGTCAAATGCACCTTACCTGCTGAAGCTAAGAGATGCATGGACATAAGTAAATCGAACCCAGTTAGATGCCTTTTACGATCGATCCGGGATAAACGATGGCAGAAATTCTGATGCCTAAACCCTTAAAGGCAACCCCTTAGCCAGAAGGGGTAGACCGATGTTAGTTTCAATATAGCAAGAAGAGTCTACGTTGTTATACTTAAAAATTCGAGCAATTAAAGAATACACAAAATATTACAAAATTATCTAGATAATTAAGAAAACATCTTATTTTTTTGGTTCGCTTATAACAATATTTTCTTTAAATTTCGTCTTTATTTTGTTAGTAGCAGATAAAAAAAGCTGTCATGCTTCATTGGGCTGAGTGTAATATGTATTATTTATATGTCCTAAATCCAAGTATTTAAAGATGAAAAGGCGTCTTCAAATAAGCGCAACCTTCATTTAAGACATTGACACAGTAAAAAATACATTCATGTCTTTTTTAAATGCAAAATTAAAGTTTCTTAAATAAAAAAACTTCAAACACATTTTGTATATAGCAAATTGAGTTGACATATGCCAAGTTGGCTTTTTATCATCTTATCTCTGAACCGAGTCTGCGATTTTTAACTATATATTTGATTTTGTTGTCACTAAAAAGATGGATGTCCCCTTTGCATAATTAAATACTTACACACGTAGGGATTGATGTTCAGCCGGGTATTCGAATTGTCGTCCATTTTATTATCATGTGGTATTAAATTCTCTTTTATGATTGGCTGATGGACAGACGGTGTACAACTTTAAATTGTGGTGTACGGACATAGTCCCCTTCGGACAAAATCCCCTTCATGTATTTTTGTATATCCGGACATAATCCCCTTCATGGGTGGACATAATCCCCTTAATGTGTGAAATTTTGAAGTGGACAAAATCCCCTTCATAAAATTGCTACCTAGGACAAAATCCCCCTCAGAGGAATTTTTGGTTTATAAAGTGGGTATGAGAGCGACATACTGCATTATGCTGGGTGGTAAATATCTTAATGTATAAATAAGTAGAAATTATTTCAGCAGAAAAGCACATTCAATTAGCACATTTTAATCACATTAAAATTGCTTTGTTAAAGCATTCATAACAATCAATCAAGCAGTGCAGTGATCTTGGTTTTATTAAATTATCACTCTTTCATCAATAGAAATTGTAACAATTGATAGTATATATCATTAAGAATTATCAACTTATACAATCAATGAAACAATTATTGGTTAATAAAAATGTTTTTCATACTAATCAATTTAAAACAATTTAAGAAATTTCCTAATCAAATATGTGTTATGCAGTTGATAATTTACCATAATTTTAATGAAAACTTCTAAACTAAATAAAGATTAAGTATTGATACATAATTATAAATAAATAAAAAAAACAAAAGTTCATTATTCATCAATTTTTATGGAGCATAATCATACATAAGAAACCTATGAAACAAGGGGATTTTGTCCGGGTAGTGAAGGGGATTTTGTCCAGCCCTTCAAAAACATGAAGGGGATTATGTCCACCCATGAAGGGGATTTTGTCCGGGTTAGCGAAGGGGATTTTGTCCGAAGGGGATTATGTCTGACATTCTTAAATTGTACATGACGCCGTCAAGGAACAGAACGGCGACAGTCAGCAAGTGTAACGAGTAAGTGTCGTATGACTTATGTCAAAAGTGGTGGTCACATCTCTGTTGGTACAGTAATTTCTGGTTATTGGGGGTTATTAATTTCAATTGTGTTTAATTTAGCTTAAGCTAGTGCCTGGGGCGTGAGAAATGTTGCAATCGATATTATCTCTCATGAACAGACTAAATTAAACGTAGTCTTCGTTTTGTTACCTTTGCTGTCGATATAACTGGTATCTATTGGATCCGTACACAGCTGCAACTCGGCAAGCGCATCGTCCAAAATAGGTATTCGTCCAACAGTGTACAGTATTGTACTCAACAATGACCAATAACCGCGTTATATCAGACGGATAAGTATCGTAAACACACTTTTCTCGGACAACGTGTTTAAATATAAGCCGTGCCATTAAAAAACCAACATAGTGCGTTTGCGAGCAGCATGGATCCAGATCAGCCTGCGCATCCGCGAAGTCTGATCAGGATGCATGCTGAACGCTATCAGTTTCTCTACTTGTAATAGAGTTGATAAGCGAACATCATGGATCATGATCAGACTGCGCGGATGCGCAGGCTGGTCTGGATCCATGTTGGTCGCAAACGCACTATTTTGGTTTTGTCAGGACGCGGCTCATTTGCTAGAACGTTATAAGAGCGAATACATAATAACCAATCTGATTAAAATCAGCTCCTTCTCAATGCATTTGGCAGCAGATAAGAACTTTAGTTGAATTGCATGATAACGAAACAGTTTTATTATAACTCATGTAAACATTTTACTATAAATTATGGCCTAATGTGACGTCACTTGGTGTTATTTCGGTCGGTCAGGGTCTTTCAAATAGATCGTTGCAATATTCCCTAAGGGCAGGTAATCTATATTGACTTAAATATTCTAATTAAAGTTCTCTCCCCTGGTCGCCAAATGGGCATTTCGATATATACTCATTATTTGTATAATATGTTTGTAAACATGCATTTAATGCAAAAAAAACCCAAAAAACGTTTAAACTAACTTATATGTTGGTTCGGTATGATTAAAAAATAACACATGTCTCTACGGGTAAAAGTGCACATGTAATAGCAACATCCTCGGCCCCGCGACGGGTGTTATTTCAGCTCTTGAGTTGCTTAAATGCACTTTTACCCCAAGAGAGATGTTTTATTTTATAAAATGCGTTTGTTAACTTCTTAATGATGCGTAAATTATAAAATACAGACTCACGAATGTATTCTCGTATATTAAAAAAAAGAAGATTTTTACTAGAATGTACATATCTAGTTAAACACCGTGATTAATCCAAATTAAAGTCGTATTTACGATAACTACCTCACATTGCTTAAGGAAATTTGTGTAAATATCCATCGGATTTTACCTGTAAACGTTGTTTTTTTTTATTATAAAAAAACGAGTGGGGCAGACTTTTATCTTTTTAATTGGCAAATTTATATTTTACCTTGAACATTTTCTTATAATGTATATCAACTGTTAGTCCATGTTTGTAAAGCAGTCAATATTTGAAAGAACCAGTCAATTCACCTGAACTTGATAATTAAAATATGAGCATTATGCATTTTAATGACGATTTTGCAAAATCTGGTGCCGGGGGCGTGGACAGTAAGGTAGCGTTTACTGCAAACTACCCTTTTCAACCGACTGACTCAATTTAACACACCCTGCAAGTTTCAAGGTTTTGCGTATTTAGCGTTAAACGAGGTCATACATTTATCTAATTTAAGGTATGCATGACTTTAGAGAGACTTGAAATCATATGACTAAGCCGCTATATTATTTACAATTGCATTTTACAATCTAATGTCAATAAAGTAATAAAATTTTAAAACAAAGTCATCACCGGCCATGTAGTATCGTCTTAAGGTATCACGATTAAGTTAACGACACAAATAACCCATGCAAAGTAAAATATAAATATACTTATATATATATACACTTAAAGCTGCAGTGCAAAAGTTTATACATTTTAGTACAGCGATCGGGATGTGTTTTTTGAAGCGGATAGTGACTTTATTAGTGTACATTAACATTGGTATGTAAATAATTTTGTATTATTTATGTTTGTACTACATTTACTAATGTGGGCTGCATTGTTTTTCACGAGCTCCCATATTTGTTTATTGATGTAAATTGTTACTTATATCAAAAGCGTTCTTAGTCATCTCAAGTTGTAGAATCACTGTTTTGCATTTACAAGATATCATGAATTTGTTCTATGTTAACCTGTCATAGTTTAGGCCCAATTTTTTTTAATTCAGTTTATTCTATTTACTCGTTCATGTTTACGAAGGGTCCACCAGCTCTTTCAGACAGGAGACCGGAACCGTGTATTATAGCAGGTATGCGCAGTTTCATCGGATTCCGTAATTAGGTCAAACACCACTAATAGTTCTGTTTCAGACTTCTTCATAAAGCTTAAACTTATATAGTTGTTCATTTTGATTTCATTTAAATGTTTGAGACATTACTGCAGCACGTGACTCACGACGAACCCGTGAGACTTTACAGTTACACTACAATCTCCAGCTGGCTTGATGACTCAAGTGCCCTTTCAGGCTTTTTGTCCTCAGGAATTTGGGAACATGACCCATACCTATGGAATTGGGGATTTCAGCGATATTTTGTTAATAATTGGGGAGAAAATGCATGACTTAAATTTTTCAGTGATTAAATGAATGCAAAGAATCACTGTCTAGGATGACATCTTCAAACATTTAAATACCATAACAGTGAAGAAGCCCTTATTTTCAACAAAAAAAAAAAAAAAAAAAAAAAAAAAAATAAATGAAATATATAGAATTTATTATTCAATATTTTTACTTTGTAACTTTCAATTTGATTTTTTCTTGTGGATTGGGAAAATGAATTACTATTTTCAATTGTGAAATTAACCGAATATCGGCTACAAAATAAGCCAAAAAGTGCTAAGATGCAAACAAAGAATGTCGGCTGCTACTAAACCTCACCCACCGCCAGTGTCATTTCCGGTGTGCAAATTTCAATTACATTAATTCTATTTCTGAACTATTAAACGGTGCTGGTGGGCGCGCATGTTGAATAAAACGAATAAAACTCATACGGGGGTTCACGTTATTTGAAAGTTAAAAAATTCGAATCGTATAAATGATAAGGCAAATAAGACCGTAAGTTGTTAATTTCCGGATTAACACGGAAGACAAAATAATGAAGCAGTTAAGTTGTTTATTTTGTTGTCGTTTTTTTTTTTTTGTTCAAGGGGCGGTGACACGAAATATGTACTTTTCATGCAATAATTGCATAAACCACTAGCTACAGGTAGGTCATGCAAAATACTTGATGTACCATTTACACAAGCGTTTACATTATAATTACAATTACAACATGGTAATGAAAATGTTGACACTTATTTTTGAACTTAAACATTGCAGTATCAGGAGCTCATGGCTCGCTTTGCTCGGTGGAGAATCGAACCGCAGACCTGTCAGCATGTCTAGAGAAGATAAGAGAATTCCTGTTCGTACCAAACAAGTTCTGGTTTGGCTCTGATTATTCACAGAGGTGCCCGAATAATGAGGACAGCGGCGTGTTTTGTATGAATCCGAAACCATCTGCTCAAAGTATACAAGTTAGACTGTTCCCTTCTACGGAATACACGGCGGGACTTGACCGATTTCTGGAGATGGAGTTTCAATCTGAGGGAAGTAAGTTTGACTTTTGTCCATATTCTCAACATCAATGTATTCCACATATTTCAACGATTACTCCTGAAAAAATATATTGCTAAATTTCTCAATCAGAAGTATTACTTGATTATTTCATCTTCGTTCTTTGAAAAGGTATTCGGAACTATTTATAGTATATGACATATTTGGCAACCAATACTATATAATAAACTTCAACCTATGGAAGATAATTGCTGCCAAAATTGCATCCAACTTTCTTACCATTAACCTGCTGTATTTTTGTAATGGATTTGCCTCGTTTGGAATTTGGAACAGTCCATTCAAAGTTTAAGGGATTGACGTATAAAGTTTTACAAAAAAAGGCTAAAACTGAGGGCATGGGCTAGTCACTTTTGGTTGGTTAAACCAGTCACATATATGTGGCTTAACATTGCTTTTTCATCCTTGTACAAATTATATTATAGTTGGCTATGTTTGTATAAATGCAATGTTACAAGTCATTTGAAGTTTTTTCTACATCCTTTATGATAATTGCATGTATATATATGCAGTGCAACGTTTCAATATATAAAGTTTATAATAGACATTAACATTAACCTTGCACATTAAGAAATAGTTTCAAAATCCGTACAATACGGTAGATATACGGTAGATATACGGTAGAGATACGACACTATTCATATCAAGTATCATGTCTGCATTGTGGGTGAAAAAACAGCCAGGTTACAAAATGTATCGGGGCGTCCGTGGCCGAGTGGTTAAGGTCGTTTACTTCAAACCACTTGCCCCTCACCGCTGTGGGTTCAAATCCCGACAGGGACTTTGGATTCTTTCATGTGAGGAAGCTATCCAGCTAGCTTACGGAACGTCGGTGGTTCTACTCAGGTGCCCGTTCGTGCCTGAAATATGGCATGGAAGGGCACCTTAGGTCTTCCTCCACCAGTAAAGCTGGAACGTCGCGATATGACCTATACTGTGTCGATGTGACGTAAAACCCAAAACAAAACAAAAAAAAAACAAAATGTATCATATTCTTTAATATAGATATCTTTATATCATTATATAGAAAAAGGAAAAGACAGTTTTTTTGACCAATTGTTTTTAATAAACACGGCTGTGGATATATAAACTTTATATCTTTAACGATTTTTAAGCACGTTTTGTTTATTAATATCTTTTTTTTCTTCAATAATAATAATAATAATAATAATAATAATAATAATAATAATAATAATAATAATAATAATAAAAATAATAATTATAATTATAATAATAATACATGTAATAATACTACTACTAATAATAATACATGTAATAATAATAATGATAATAATAATAATAATAATAATAATAATAATAATAACAATAATAATAATTAGAATAAGATACTTATTCGGTGTTTTGTAAAAAATGAAAACACCAACAAAAACAACTTAATCACACATAATTGCCCCATTATTTCATTTAAGAGAACTACAAAGCATGTGGGAACACATATAAAACGACGGAATCCTGGAGTTACAGCGCGGATCCACTTTCCGACATGGTTGTCTACCCTTGGTATGTGAAAAACTTCCCCATTTCCGTCAAGTGGAATTATACGGTCGGGGACTACTTTACGTTGATGGTATATGATGCCGGGTATTTGACATCCAACGGTCTCCATATAAATATACAGCATGATGACATCACTTCTGGTGAGGTAATAATTATTGACATCACAATTGTCGAGGTAACAACAAATGACATTAAAATTGATTGCTGAGGTAATAATAAATGACATTAAAAACTGCTGAGGTAATAATTATTGGGATTACAATTGTTGAGGTAATAATTCCTGGCATTACGATTGTTGAGGTAATAATTAATGACATTACAATTGATTAGGTAATAGTTATTGACATTGCAACTGCTGAGGTAATAATTACTGACATTACGATTATTAAGTTATGACATTACAACTGCTGAGGTAATAATTACTGACATTTCAATTCTTAAGTTATGACATAACAACGGCTGACTAAAAAATAATGACATAATAATTATTTAGTTAATAATGAATGACATTACAACTGCTGATGTTATAATTAATGGCATTACAACTGCTGAGGTAATAATTAATGACAATACAACTGCTGATGTAATAATTAATGGCATTACAACTGCTGAGGTAATAATTATTGACAATACAACTGCTGATGTTATAATTTATGACATTACAACTGCTGAGGTAATAATTAATGACATTACAACTGATGAGGTAATAATTAATGACATTACAACTGCTGAGGTAATAATTAATGACACCACAACTGCTGAGGTAATAATTAATGACATAACAATTCTTTAGGTAATAATTAATGGCATTCAACTGCTGAGGTAATAATTAATGACATTACAATTGCTGAGGTAATAATTAATGACATTACAACTGCTGAGGTAATAATAAATGACAAGACAACTGCTGAAGTAATAATTAATGACATTACAACTGCTGATGTTATAATTAATGACATTACAACTGCTGAGGTAATAATTCATGACATTACAACTGCTGATGTTATAATTAATGACATTACAACTGCTGATGTTATAATTTATGACATTACAACTGCTGATGTTATAATTTATGACATTACAACTGCTGATGTTATAATTAATGGCATTACAACTGCAGAGGTAATAATTATTGACAATATAACTTTTGATGTAATAATTAATGGCATTACAACTGCTGAGGTAATAATTATTGACAATACAACTGCTGAGGTAATAATTAATGACATTACAACTGCTGATGTTATAATTAATGACATCACGACTGCTGATGTTATAATTAATGACATAACAACTTCTGATGTTATAATTAATGACATTACAACTTCTGATGTAAGAATTAATGGCATTACAACTGCTGAGGTAATAATTCATGACATTACAACTGTTGATGTTATAATTAATGACATTACAACAGCTGAGGTAATAATTCATGACATTACAACTGCTGAGGTAATAATTAATAACATTACAACTGCTGATGTTATAATTTATGACATTACAACTGCTTATGTTATAATTAATGACATTACAACTGCTGATGTTATAATTAATGACATTACAACTGCTATAATTCATGACATTACAACTGCTGAGGTAATAATTAATGACATTACAATGCTGATGTTATAATTTATGACATTACAACTTCTGATGTAACAATTTATGGCATACCAACTGCTGAGATAATAATTATTGACAATACAACTGCTGAGGTAGTAATTAATGACATTACAACTGCTGAGGTAATAATTCATGACATTACAACTGCTGATGTTATAATTAATGGCATTACAACTGATGAGGTAATAACTATTGACAATAAAACTGCTGAGGTAGTAATTTATGACATTACAACTGCTGAGGTAATAATTCATGACATTACAACTGCTGATGTTTTATTAATGGCATTACAACTGCTGAGGTAATAATTAATAACATTACAACTGCTGATGTTATAATTAATGGCAAAACAACTGCTGAGGTTATAATTTTTGACAATACAACTTCTGATGTAATAATTAATGGCATTACAACTGCTGAGGTAATAATTATTGACAATACAACTGCTGAGGTAATAATTAATGACATTACAACTGCTGATTTTATAATTAATGACATTACAACTGCTGAGGTAATAATTAATGACATTACAACTGCTGATGTTGTAATTAATGATATTTCAACTGCTGATGTTATGATTAATGACATTACAACTGCTGAGGTAATAATTCATCACATAACAACTGCTGAGGTAATAATTAATGACATTACAACTGCTGATGATATAATTTATGACATTACAACTTCTGATGTAATAACTAATGGCATTACAACTGCTGAGGTAATAATTATTGACAATACAACTGCTGAGGTAATAATTAATGACATTACAAATGCTAATGTTATAATTAATGACATTACAACTGCTGATGTTATAATTAATGACATTACAACTGCTGAGGTAATATTTATCGAAGATACAACTACTGAGGTAATAATTTATAACATTACAACTGCTGATGTTATAATTAATGACATTACAATTCTTTAGTCAATAATTATTGACATTGCAACTGCTGGTAAAATAATTAATGACATTACAACTGCTGATGAAATAATTAATGACATTACAATTCTTTAGTCAATAATTATTGACATTACAACTGCTGATGTAATAATTAATAACATTACAACTAATGAAATAATAATTAATGATATCATAGTTCTGTAAGTAATAATGAATGACAATACAACTGCTGAGTAATAATTTCTGACATAACACATGAAGAGGTAATTATAAATGAAATACTTACTGCTGAGGTAATAATTAATGACATCACATCTACTAAGGTACATGACATTACATCTGCTGATGTAATAATTAATGACACCAAAACTGCCGAGGTAATAATTAATGAGGAGCTAGCTAATTAATGGTTAGGGTCACAACTCATGTTCCTGCTCGTGTTTAAAGCATACTGAGTTCACGTTCCAATAAGATATATAATTATACTCTGTGCATTTTCATTGTGTATCGTGCTTTAGAATAATGTTGCACATGTGCAGAGGAATCATTATTTAATTTGCGGGAAATGTATGCATACACATGAGATATAATATTGTATTGATCGTATGGTCAAAGATTGCATTTCGTTTAATATTTCAGGTGGTTCGACACTATGGGCAGCCGCTTATTGGTACAGATATCAAAAACCCCTACGTATTTATGCTGTTCAAACAAAACGGCATGATTACTCTGTCTGAGGCTTGGAGGGAAAAATTTACTACCGGAAATGTAGCCGGGGCCTGGACTATTGAAGATTTTACAACAGCCGTAAATATGAGCGGTAACTATAGTGACGGATATTTTGATTTTCGTCAGATGAAAATTAGAGATATCTTATTGTATCAAACGCGCAAGTCCTTCATTTTATAAAGTCAATTTGACCGAAATTCGAGATATTTTGTATGGAAATGTTGGTGGGATAAATTTCGTAATAAGTAGGGTGTGCTATCGTTAGATTCACTTTCAGAGGTATAACTAGTCATTTCAGAAACAAACATCTTGTCACGTTGATTTATATGGTTCCTAGCCTTCTACAGAATAAAATTATACAAGTGACTGGTTCCAAGCTATGCTCCTTTTACAGAAGCATGTTGTAAGATTTGTTCTACTTATGATAAAAATTTGAAAAATTATATCTAAGTCTTTTAGGAAAATAATCCTCCTATTTTTAACTTAAATATCTTCCTTGTGCAGTAAACAAGCAATGTTAGCATGCACGTACAACTAAGTCGACTAATCACGCGGAAGAAATTGCAAAAAATTAAATTACCTGCCCCGATTGTTGACAAGTTCATACGCAGTGACCCCGTCCCCCCTTTCCCCCCCCCCCCTCCCCGCTTCGCAACAAAGAGCCAATCAAATCATTGTTAAATATTTGAATAATTATTGTTGGTCGAAAATAAATCAATGCCAACGACAATGTTTAACGACAACCGTTACCATTAATAGCAAAAGTGTGTCTGGAGTTACTTTCCCTTAGTGTTCTGTGCTTACAGGTGACGGACTGACACTAGTGACAGGCATATTGTATGTTGATGAAAGCTACATTTAATAAATATATTCTTCTTAGCTATACCTCAAGAAATCGTGTGCTGCTAATCCTAAATATGCTGCCGGCAACTTAATCTACCCACGTGCGATAAGTGCAGACCAAAATCAGGCTTCAGTCAGTACTTACTTTGAAAAATTTTCCTTTTATGATGAATGAGTGCATTTAAGAAAGTACTGTAAGCTCGATTCCCATCTACATTATATATAACTTGCTAGTGTTTTGGGTGTGCCTTTAATAACGGAATTCCCTAGTAATGGCACTTTACGTCCGACATGTTAAACAATCAGACAGTTTTTAAAATATGTAGTCTGTTTATATATATGTAAATCTTCCAAAACATATGATTATTTACAATCGTATGAAGTGGTTGGCTCGTAAAATTGTGTTTCCGAAACGTAATCCACACACAAGTTGACGTTTTGATAGTGTAACCATTTTAATATAACGTTAACGCATATAATTATATGTAAAATTTACACATAGAGAGATATAAAAACATCGCTGAAATAAAATCCTTGATGTCTATACCTTTTTAATATAATAACAACACATAATTGACGTGTTCTCAATCTTAAATATAAAAAAATCTTGATAGGTTAACCATTAAAATATAACACCAACACATTAATATGGTGTTTACAAACGTAGATATAAAGCAAGGGATCTCTTTATCATTTGAAATAATGTGGAATCTTAATTATTTTACCCAAGGGAATCGAATTAATTTAATAGATGTGATTCAACCGCTCAATGCTTCTGTATTCAGGTCTAGTAGCAGTAAATTGGATTGTCGTGAGCGGGGATGAGTGGATTGCCCAGAAAATGTTGGACACACAAGGACCCTATTCTCTCTGCCCATTATATGCAACAAAAGGTAAAATTAAGAATGGACGAACATGAAGGCAGAAATGTCTTTCCACCGTGGTATTCATTAGTACAGACCATTTCCAACAACCAATTTTTTAAGTCCCTGTGCGATCATTTTGCTTTGTTAGTAGAAACATGCTTTGTTAGTAAAAACATTTGAAAATGAGAATAAATCCGCCATAGCATGCACATGTACTGTTTAAAGACGAAACTAATACATAACGAACAGCAAGAAGTTTCCGAGGCTAATTTATTTACAGTACCAATCAAATACATGTATTGTTTTATTTAATGTTGATTTTTTTTGATAACCTGTCAAAAATATGATTATAATTATATTTTAGCGTTGCTTGAAAAACCACGCCCATTTATTCCAAGTAACACCCAGCTGTCTGTGTGGATAGATTTCAAGTTTATGGTTGACGTCAGCTCTACAATCAACGTCTGCTGCAAGACGTCAACATACACGTAAGTCACTGAATTAAATAGAGTTGAATATAAACAATTCAAAAGAATTTAATACAGTAGAAAAGAATAATACAGTGGAAATGACAGGATGAAGTGAATTAAAGGAAAATAAAAAAACAACATAGAAGAGAATAGAAATACAGCAAATTGAATATACTAAGTAAGATGCAAGAAATGGAAGAATGGAATGGAATAGTAATGGAACCGAAATATACTATGATAACACATAATTATAATACCCTTGTCAAATGATATAATAGCATTTCCAACACAGAAAATAACTGCACAAAACCATAGATTCTCTGTTAAACTTCCCCTAAGATGTTTCAGTTAACTGTGGTTGCTTTTTTGCTAAGAGCTGCTTCATCTAGGCATTATGGTGAGCGACCAGGGCCATCGTCGTTCCGCTATTTTTCTTTTCGTTTGTTTGTTTTGTTAGTTGTTGTTGGTTTTTATTTCATGTAAAATTTCAGGCCACGTAACTTCACACTAAATCCCATTGGAAACGAGCTCCTTAGCACGTATGACGTGAGAAGTGAAACACCACATGTTCTTTCTTTCTCAAAGCTAGGGTTATATGCCGAACGTCATAATTTCACAGGTATATGCATGCTTCCAAGAATTTTAATATGTGGTTTAAAAGGCATATGCTATTAGTATAATTTTGTGAACTTTTTAGCAATGATTAAAAGAATTAAGTTGTTTGGACGAAATTGAACCCTCACTCTGTGCACTATTAGTATAGTTAGTCCAGCCTGCACATCCGTGTAGTCTGGCCAGGCAAGCAGATTTTGAAAATGTTGTACGATCTGCAAACATACAAAAATGCTATGATGTTCCTGGTTTTACTAATTAACACAATTTTATCTCATGAATTATATCACTAAAGCGTCCTGAAGAAGAAAAAGCGATCAATTGACGCTTGTTTTAAGCATTCGTATGCTTGATTTATATTTTGATATTACTATTCCGGTATTTCACAATGGCTAAATCTATATAATGCATTGTATAAATATTCAGCAAATACTTGTATATTGCAGATAATAGATTTATATGATAAATTTATCCGAGGGTTTTAAGTTGACAATTTTTTCTTTTCAGGTGATATGTATACGATCATAGCCATTGATCCGGATGTACCCCTGCCAACAGTGGGCACACCAGAGAGGCCGATTCTGCATGGCCTTGTTACGAACATCGTAAACGGAAACTTAAAAGAAGGTATCATCCTTATTATACCAGAATTGTTTTTATTCTTACTTTTATTTATTTATAATTTATTTATTTCGTGATTAAAAATTGTACTTGGTGGTAAAAGTATAAATTAATAACGTAATTAAAAAAACGACAAAATCTGAAAAATAGTTTAAAATACGGTTTTACATCAAGTAAAAAACAACAAACATTTTGTATTTAAGTAAACTGTTGTTGTCAGGATTTCTTGTTGTTGTTTGTTTTGGATTGTTTTTTTTGTGCATTTATTTTTTTCTTTTTGCTTGAAACAAACGCCTCTGATACCTTACTCTTGCGGATGCGCAGGCTGATCTTGATCCATGCTGGTCGCAAACGCACTATGTTGGTTTTGTCGTAACGCGGTTCATATTATTATTTCCAGGAGAAAAAGGCTTGTCTTGGACTGGGCCATATCCACCAAACGACAGTCCCCACTATTATTACACCTTGTTATACAAACAACAATCAGCAATAAATGCCACTGAACTGATGTATAAATACGCTGGAGACTGTGAAGAACGTCTGGCAGGAAGGTATATATTTCATTTTTTTTTTAATTTTCAAAAAGTTTCAAAGAGTTTCAAAAGAAATGTAACAGAGTTATCAAGATTGAGTGTAACATTAACCGGTTTTTTTGTACTGTCGTTTTTATTGTTATTTCAATAACATTCGTCATGGTATTTTAAAAGTTTCGTCTTTTGTGAGAATGTCAAAACTATATAATGCTGTCAACAATGTCAATTGTAATCTCGAGTTCCTTCCCCTTGTATGCAGGGTACCAGACTGTGTCAATTGGTGATATTATTGATGTAGGTAAAGTTAGTTGGTACTGAATTCTTGCATGTTTCGATGTACATCATGTTGTCAGGAATGGAACATCTATCGTCTGCAACTGTTTTCTAATCTCCGTATTGTCCCATGTTTTAATTACCGGTCAAGAAGAGACAAGTTCAAGTTTTTGAAAATGTCCCTCAGTTAATTTGTATTGTTTCATAGATGTTGTCGGAAAGTAGTCCGTCTCTGATAACAGACGTACGCCAAGTGTATAAACCAGTCTACTTCCCGTTTTCACAAGAAAGCTACAGTTGAAATATATAGGCTTCAAAAGAACAGTTGTTGCAAGTTATCACAAAGAGATGTCACACATTGAATTCTACACATATGACACAGCGAGCAGCCTGAACATGACTCGAACCCTGGACCTTTGGAAAACTGTACGACAGCTTTACCGACTGAGCTTTTCGGCGGCTTACACACTATCTCTCCTTAAGGGTGAACAGTTCAATATCGTGACACATTTCTCAGCTTGTGAGACATATGTCTACGTACGAATGATAGTTGAAAATGACCGCTTGATTTAAACTAATGCAAGTTATGTTATTTTATTTTATTTATTTTTTTTCTAATTGCAGATGTTTGTATAACATTAATCAAGCTGTCCATGATAATAACCTCGTTTTAGTAGGAGCCACGTGGTTTAGATCGCAAAAAGATGCGTATGTATTGGAGAGGCAACTGAACGCTACCGGAAGTGTAGAAGCGGAAGTGTGTAAAGGCCAGCCTGGATATAAAGACCCATGTACAACAAGCGCTGCACCAACGTCACTTTCTTCCATTCTCAAAGCGTGCACATTTTGGTTGATTTCAACCGTGACAATGAGCTTCGTAAAAAGTTGTTGATTCAGATGACAATTTCCAGTTATTGCTATCGCAATGAAATAGCAAATTTTTATTCTAATCATTTAAGAATAATGAAGATTTTCCATGATCATAATGTTAATCGATTGCCACAAGCAATAAAGAAGTCATTCAGAAATCCTTGTTCACCATAAAAAACCAGCGATTATTTTATTGCTCTGTCCTATTCTGTTCTGTTCTCGTGTGTATTTATCTTTACTGTGTTGTCAACAACTCTATTTTATATTTGTTATGTTTGATATTTGATTTTTTCATCTCTTTTTTAACATTGCGTAATTAATTTATGTTTTCTATTATGTTTTTGTGTTATGAAAATATTTGGAGTATGTAACGTGTGTATGTATTTATCGCATATCATTACCGTGCCGTGTTTATGAGTCCGAAAAAAAAACACCAAAAAAAACAACAAAAAAAAAACGGAAACGTTCGATTTCTCGGCATCAAGTTAAATCCGAAAATTCACATTTAACAATTATTAGTCCCTAGCCGGTTTATCCGAAGGGGTTTTAAGGTTTACCCTCCGTCCGTCTGTCTGTCTGTCTATTTGTCCGTACGTCCGTCCGACAGTCAGTCAGCCCGTCTGTTTACAAAACTGGATCCCGCTATAACGTGAAAAGTTCTGAAAATATTTTATGAACCTTAATTTATGGATAAATGGCAGTATGGAGATTATGAGCGCCTTTTTCTTTCCTTCCTATGTGGAAAATTCTGGTTTCTATGGCAATAAATAGACTGAAAATATGGAAAAATTAACACATGAACTGGATCCAATGATGACACAAAACGTACTGAATTTTTTTTTATGAAACTTGAAATATAGGTAGATGGCAGTCTGGAGATTATGCATATTTTTTTTTCCTTCATGCGTTGTAAATCGTGGTTGCTATGGCGACAAATAGACTGAATTTCAAGATTTCTGATAATAATTTTTATGCTTTTTATTTCTTAAGATATTTACTTCAAACATTAAACATAAGTTTCTTGTCATCAACCACACCATATGTGACAAGGTTTACAACTCTAGCACAAAAATTATCTGAATTACCTCCCATGAACTTTAATTTTCATGAAAAAAATGTTTTTTTTAATAACTTCTTTAGTTCTTGATGTATCTAATTCAAACTTCATAATTATTGATGTTTCTTATTATCACTCGACATTTGTGAGGAGGTTCAATACTCTAGCAAGACTATTGCCAGAATTATGCCCCACCTGAACTTAGATTTTTTCCAAGAAATTGGTATTTTTTATTCCAACATTTTTCATTCCTTATAGGATTTACTTCAAACTCTCACATCATAATGATATAACTAGGTTTATAAATTAAGAATCAACATTCCAGAATTATTTCATTCTTAATTTTTGAATGTTTCTGTAACTTTTTTTATTTCTTCATGGATTTACTTCAAATTCAAAATAAACATGTATATATAATAAAATAATTAAAATAATTGTTCTTTGTTACACTATAACATAAAAACTGTTTCCTGAGATCATTTGGAATGATGTTTTCGAACAAATTTACTTAAAATATAGAACAGTTGAAACATTAGTTATATTTATTCATCCTGAGAAAATTGGACACCTTTTCGTCAATTTATCTGTTGTATATTAACGTAATTTCCTTATATTACTAGGCAGGGAAACTTAACAACATTTATTTTACTATGATATATGACAAAAGCTAGAACTCAAAGATTTAAGTTTATTCATGTCATTCATTCATTTATTCAAATGACATATTTAAATGAACCATCAGAGTGTTGCCTTGGGTTTCGTTCTTACCGGTTGGGGACTTATGGATTGCTTGCAGCACTGTGATAATGGCTTATTATAATATGATCAAGAATGGTTCAACTTTTCCCAGCACGAATTTGCCGAGTCTTTCTTTAATTAAACGCAATTTTCTATTTTCATTTCAACATTATTGTGTTCGTTCACTGTATATATTTATATATAATACAATAACGAGTTTTCGTCTTACCAGAAATTATTACAAAGTTTAAGTACAGAAATTGTGTTCAACCCTGTGGAGAAAGTTAAAAATGAATCTTCAATAAGATCTTTATATATGTGCAGTTATAAAAGAAACCTGCCCTAATTCTTTTAAAATAGTTTTCCGGTAATGCTGTCCCGCAAAATATCTAACATCGACCAATATCGTAACAAATTGGGTTTTTTTTTCAAAATCTAGGACATTAGATTAATTACAATTACTCATCATTTATCGCTTTTGTACTCAATTCAGGTTATAAACGGTTAAATATTAATGGGTACCTATGATTATGAAAAATAAAATTCCGGAAATTAATGAATAATTACGATATTGGCCGATGTTAGAAAACTTTGGGCAGGGAAGCATCTGAGTTAGACTGCCTGAAATAAACCATATGGGATATACATTTGTCGTTAATCTTCGAACAAACCATATCAAAAACTGCAATTAGAAGTGCAAAGAAAGTAAAAACTATAAGTCAGGTTCTATGAGAATTTGCTACTTTTTAACAAAGTAGGACACCTATTCTATGCAAGATCAGTTGTTTGGCTGAACGAGAAACTTATCTGGTAAGAGAAACTCATCTGGTAAACTTATAATCGGATGTCATAAATAAATATTTGGTACAAATTGAATATAAGGTTACATTTATTCTTTGACAGTATGCCTGCTTTATAAATTTATCTTTCTTCATCTTATTTGTGATATGCAGGTTTCATAACTTCCTTTTTGTACCTCTTACTTTTTCTCAAGAACGTCCAAAACGTCAAAATTGTTAATGTGGCCGACTCTGTTGGGTTGAGTCTGTTCAAAGGATATGATGGGAAGTGCGAGTCGTTCAAGTCTGGTAAAGTAATAAATCTTAACAACTTGCACACACAAATAAAAGTAAAGAATGTGAAATATCATTGAATTAGTTTATTCCTTATGTAATTTTTAATTACCAAGTGACAGATTTTTGTCAAATTTAATGACTTTTTTACTGTCAAACATTTATAAGAACACCGGTGAAAGATGGATACCTGTGCTCATTTGCAAACATTACGTTAGTGTGTGTACTCTGAACATACACTCGTTCACCAGTTGTAAGTCTTGCCGGAATCGTTGCCGAAGCGCAGATACTTGTCGTGCTGTATGTTGTTGCAGCTGTTATTTTAGTATTTTCATGAACAATAGCTGCAGTCATATATTTTCCATCGGCATTACAAATGTTGATGCTAAATTGGTACATCCCAGATACAGGGGCTGTGAAGATCCCAGTGCTTGCATTATAACCACCGCCTTCATTAAGTAACACGAGAGGAAATACGATAGATTGGTTGACCACGTAATTTCCACTACCAGTACTAAAATATGCATTAAATGCTACTTTCGGTGTTGCATTGAGAACTGAAAGTACAATCATGGGAATTTTAAGAAAAGGTCACACCTGTTTATTATACATGTAGTAATAACGCAAGGAATATGATAACATTATTCTATGAAGTAATTATAATCAAATAATGTTTATGTAAAAATGTATGTAGCAAATAATATAATTTAAGAAACCACTTTTTTGCATTTATCGTGAGGAAATATCTTTTACTGTTATAAAACTGTATCAATATCATCTCAGTGATGCACTCCGTCAAATTATTGAATAATGTGAAATAAATATGTTTAACTCGGAATTGTTGTGTAAAATATAAATCTGAAATTTACCACACTCCTGTGATTCTGCTGTTTTCAGAGTAAGCAACAGCAACAAACCGATCTGAAATATCACTTATAGAGTAATGTTATGAAAATGAATATTATTCAACTTTGTTACGGTTGTTTGATAAATATTTTACTTGTTATTAAGACAAGAGCTCTAGTGATACTATTTGGGGTTTTAATTGTGAATCACAGCTTTAATTAGTAAAAATGCATATATTTATTTCTATTTCAGAATTCAACGCTCAATAGAATATAGATTATTTTAAACAGGTTATTGACATTACGAATTACAAGGGAAAGAAGTCATACCAAGTTAGGAAGGATTAATTTCATCATGCTTTACAGATTGGCAATTTCCCAGAAGGCAAGAACTAACTGAAACAGAACTTTTTCTTCTGAAAGTACAAAAAGTAGAATTAACGGTAACACAAAATGATATTATGCTGTTTTGTGCCAAATTTATATCTGGTGCTTCAATTTTCTTTCTTGATGTTTTCATCACTTTTAATACGTTTATATGAACTTGGTAAGTAACCTTGAGAACACTATCTGTGGATAAATGAAATTATAACTTCATGCGCGCAAGCGATGGACATGTCTGCTTCTTTTTATGAATACTTATGAGTTGGGATTTTCCATGAAGCTTAATAAACACGTTTCAAATAGATATAATTTTATAAAATCTACTATGGAATTCGTCATCTTTGTACCACGTGATTGCTTCATAGAACAAGTAATGTTTAATCGAATGAATCTCGAAGTGCTTCTAGGAAGCACTGCCAAATCGAACATGTATTAAGTTAAGTTTGAAATGAAGGACCAACTATTACGTTGATATGAATTAACTACGGATCGGAGATTTTCTGGCGCAACAGACATATTTCTTAAGCATAACAGGCACAACGTTTGTTTTTGTTATGAATACAGTTAAACATTTTCTTAAAATGTTACAGAGATGTTTACTATAGGTTGTTTTGAAGGAGTCTATGACACTGAAAACGATGTCTTTTCTTTTAACTAAACTTCAAGATACCGTGAACACAATAAAATCATACAAGCACAATTACGAACCTTATCTGTTCTGAAATAATATTGTATGTCCACCCGATGACTGCTAACATTAATTATATTTAAGATGAGCGTGTCGTGTTCATCCGACAGCTGTACAAAGTAAATCTTGAGCAGTCAGACATCATGCGAGAGAGAAAGCAATAATTTCTATGTCATCAGTGTCTTATTAAATATGTATTGCTAATTAAACAAGAAAAATATTACAAACATTCGTATGTAATAAATATAGGTACAATTGCTAACCAACTTCTGTGAAGACTTTTTATGCTTGCTTCATGAAAGGTACTATGTAATATGAACAAACATGTCATTAGATATTTTATGTTTTTAAACGTTTTCATGAAATGTAATAAATGTATCATAATATCAACGTTGTATGCCTTCTGATGAGAAAAATGAACAATGCACGACCAATTTACTGCTCACTGAACAGACCATTTGAAAATCTTGCAACCCATAGACTAAACAAAAACAAGCGCTTGCTTCTTTACCCAATTATTTAGCTGCATGACCATGATTTGCAAACCAAATATAAAAGCTGAAACTATTGTTAAAATAATACTATGACCACAGCAGATTTGGTACAGAAAAGCAAAAATAGCATAAACCCACTAGACAGTCTCACATAACTAAATCAACTAGGTCTTACATGACATTAAGTTGTTTCGAAACAAACAAAAATCTAATTTGTATAAAGAACTTATTAAATGATTGTCAAATACATGGATCTCTTTTACTCATAAAGTCATTTTCATAAAATATAGCAAATATACAATGTAAATAATGTTTAAGAAGAAAATTGAAAATAAGATTATATTATTCTGTACTCACGTGTATCACTGACTTGACTTCTACGTTGTATTCGCCTGTTGTCTGAAGCACACTAGGTGCTGAATTTATACTGTTTGCCTTGTAACATATTGCATCATTTCAACAGCAAAATCGGCTGACAAAGCAACAGAAGATTTGATTCATTTGTTTTATTCTTTGTTTGATAACAATAACATAAAAGAATAAAAGTTTCGATTGAGATAAAATTTTGTAAGCAGTTGCTTAATTTGTAAAACCACGTGAACGATAATCTCTAAAATCATTCCAAAATTACCATATAGTGCCTGCAAAGTAGGACGACGATCTGTCGCGGGAGATGTGATTGTAAATGTTCTAGTTCATGCAATAGGTATGTAACATGGTAACATAGTTTCTCAGAGAGTAGACAAATTAATGAACTGATATGATTTGTCCTAGTTGCGTCATATGGTTTCATAAGGACAACTGTTGTTAGAAATAAACAGGATAATGTTATCTGAAAAAACATCCTAACCCATACAGATGAATGCTTTTAGATTATATAGGCCTATAGTTTGTAGCGCTATAAATGTGATTTTTGCAAATTTTGAATTCTCCACAAAAAAAACATAAGTTACCAACACATGTACTCACACGTACATATCCCATATCATGATGTTTCAATCAAAATTGAATGTTTATACGAGAGTTGGTAAGAGACTAATGGGACTCACAGTCTTGCACCATCATTCAATTTCAAAAATTATTCACATTAAAGCGACGTGAAAATTTTCTACAATTTCAGCATGTGTTTATTAAATAATTGTGATAAATGCTTGTTTCCTGAAAATAACCATGGCTACACACACCCGGCGCAGCAAATCAAACACATAATATTGCGTTTCAGCTGTACTTCATATCATTAAACAGAAGGTAACATAGCGTGTATATAAAAATATTACGTTTGTTGAAACAAACGGTAGTCTTGTGCATATGTTCAATTTTTTGCGAATATATATTATCAATGCTCCTTCAGATACATACGAAAAAGGACAATTTTTTCGGGCACCAGGCCCACACATTTTTAGAAGGCGCAGGCAAGTCAAAGACTGCGGATATGATATTTGTAGAAGTAAAGTAAAGAATTGACGGAACGTTAGTGACGCCGTTTGCAAAAACACTACAAAATGGTCGACAGCACCAACTCGGCGGACTGCCCGGTATGTTTGATATGAATACGTCGGGTCTCCTTTTTCAAATCTGACCAAAAGATTAAATATGAGACATATGAGACATTTGTTTTAACAATACTTTATTTGCTTTCAACAATATATACGTGTTAGCAATAAATGATAGGCACTCCATTGAGGTTCATTTGGCTACACACATATAAAATTATAATGTTTTACATAGATCAACATGTGCACTTAAAACAGAAATATATATAAAATATAACCAAGAAATATACAAGAAATACACTGAAAATCGTATGTTTGTACTATTCTCTATCCAAATTGAGTAAAAGCGTTTAAACGCTTTTCAATTTTGTGTCTTTTTCACAATTCTGATTATAATTATGGAATAATGGAGCGAGCTATTAATCTGAAATATTGAACATAACATATTAACACAGATCTAAATCAAGTAATAATCTCAAAAGAAGCCCCGTCATGTCTAAAAACCTCAGTGGAGTCCTTTTAATACAATAACAAATAACGGTTATAAGAAATATTTCACAAATAAAAAACAAAAAAAAAAACCAAAAAAAAAACCGGCGTATGGCTGTGAATCGCGTGGCCCTAGTGCGCACCCGGTCAGCAGGTCACATTCGTATTGATCACAAATACTTTCTACGGTCATTTGCACTGTACTTCATCTCTGACATGTTCAGAAGTTTCAATTCCTTGCGAAAGCAAAGGCCACTGTTACTGGTAAAACTGCTTAGCATATACTCTACTGCGCATCGGTCAAATGTTTCACAAGAGCATGAGTGTGTTCATTCAGGTGCGATGGGAGCTAACTTGACATTCTGCCCAGAAACAATGTGGTGGCTGAACTGTAATCTGGTTAATTCAATGTGGCTTACTGCCGTGATCCGAAGAGAGAGTGAAAACTACTATCACTATCACCACCACCATTACCTGATTTTTAACAAATGATAGCCTGGGCATTATAAAATTGTTTTGAACGTACGATGAAATGTTTAAATCAATAATATATTTTTCATTAAAATTTTGAAACCATGCCATGAGTTCTTAAACTCAGGCAGCCCTATTTTATTTTCCCTTTCTGTTGTCAATGCCCTCAGGGGATATTTCCTTTTTAAGATTACTATTTTAAAATCTAACGTCAACTGGAAATCAAAAGAGAAGAAAAGTAAGAAAATGTCTGTTCACAAATATTGCAATTTGTAATAATGATATATAAATGAAAACAGTATGCAGCATGTACATGCAGGAAACAAAATAACACAAATATGTTTATAAGATTAACAATAGTTCCTATATTGAAGCTAAGATAAATGCCGTGTGTAGAATTTGTATTATGTAATACAATACATGAAACATATGTTGTAATTTTCTAAAATGTTTTGTTTTATAACCAGAACATTTATGTCTTTCGATGTGCCTTGGGTGAATCATTTATTCAAAGGCCAATCATTTATTCAAAGGCCTATTTTGCCTCAAAAATACTACACGTTTTATTCCTGAAAAATTGTAAATGTTTGGTATCTTATTACAGTTTTGATAGAAAAATGTATTTGTCAAATCGATTAACTACATTTGCATCTCTTTCTTGGCAATAAGTTCACTTATAATGAATTAGTATTTTGTATGGATGTCAAAATTATGCTTAATTTCCAGTTTTGCTACCTTGACAACACTTGACTGCACATTCGTCATTACAGTATTCAGCTAGAAAATACCTTACGTGCTCTTAATCCATTATTAAAACAATAATAAACACGTAATTAACATTTCTTAAGATTAAAGTGAATGTTGATTTTTAAGGCAAAATATGCTGTTGCACGTTTAAATTTTCTTCTCAACGATTTTATTTGCAATAGTAAATTGTCACTTCTGTTTGCTTTAATTAAACTCTCACAAACACATGAAAATTTTAGCGTTGATATATGGAGGGTGTTCCTTTTGAAATCTACTTTAAGAATTGCAAATGTAAAGTTTTATCTAAAAAATTAAGCGTTTTTACAAATGCGCGATACTCTACATCACCAAAAACCCCCAAAAATTTTTTCCCCAAATCAATGTTTTTATCGTGAAAAGAAGGGGGGGAAAAAATCCCCGTTATTACGTAGAAAACCACTCCCTTTTTCTGAATAAAATGCAAATTTTGATTAAATCGAAAGTAAAAACCTGAACCCTTTTTTATTTGTTGGCTTTTCAATGCTCGAAAAAAAATTGGAAAAAAAAAACAAACATCATCCCCTTAAAAAAAATTTTTTTAAAAAATGTTTCAACGGAAAGCATCTTTGATCATCATTTTACTACTACCGTACTACAGTAGAATTTCCTGTACGATCTATTACTCATTCAAACGCTTTTTTTTTTTTGTTTTTTAATACATTTTTTGGGATTTTTTTTTTGTTTAAAAATTTAACCCCAGATTTTTCCTTTTTGGAATTTTTAAAATTTAAAAAATTTGTGGTTAAATAATTCTTTAAAAAATCGTCGCTGAAATCATTTTAGATACCAAACCACGTAGGATATGAAAAAAAAAAGTTTAAATATTTCTATCTTGCAAATTTGGATTAATTTGATGCACATTTAATTTTTTTTTTTGTTAAAATTTTACTTTTTGGATTTTTTTCCCCTTTTGCCCAAAAAATTGTGTGTATTTTTATTGTTTTTCGATTTTTATTTTTTTTTTGAAATAATAAAAAAAAATAAAAAAAAAAAGAAATAAAAAATAAAAAACCCCCCCCCAAAATAAAAAAGAACCGAATTCAAAAATTTTCGAAACCCTTTTCCCCAGCCCCCGGCTCTTCCCGGTCGTCCCCTGGCGTCAGGCGTCTGTCGGTTTTTTTTTGCCCGCCCAATAACTTTAAGAAAAATTCTTTGATCCATATCTTCATAACTTTGAGAATTTTCTCATTCAAAAAAGATGACCCCATTTTTAATTTTTTGGTCACTTTGTCAAACGTCATGGTTCAAAGTGCCTTGACTACAAAAAAAATTGTCCCCCCCAATTTTTTTAAGAACCCTTTTTTACGCCCAGTCCTCAATTTTTTTCTAGCGGTTTTTTTTTTTGACCATTTTTAATACCCCGATTTGGATTATGGGGTTTTAATCATGGGAGTGGGGGAAATTTTTTGTTTTTTAGGTCAGTAGGTCAAATTTTAAAAAAAGCAGTAGAAAAACCTGAAATTTTTGCAATTCACTGGCTTAAACAACCCTCAGGTTTTTTTGGGTGAAAGATTGTCCCTGACTCAAATGACCATGTTTATTCTGACAAAATTATATCCCGCGGGGTATTTTAATCCAGAAAAGTGGGCAATTGTTTTTTTTTAAGCCGAGTTTTACAAAATACACAAAAGAATATTTTTTCTTTTTTTTAAAACAATATTTAAAAAAACTTGGAAATAAAACGGGGTTTTTTTTTAAAAAAAACATTTATTTAAAAATTATTTAATTTTATCATGTTTTTTTTTAAAAAATAATAAAAAAACCAAAGTTTTTGGTAGATTGTTTTTTTTTTTAAGAAAAAAAAAATTTTTTTAAAATAAAAAAAAGGGAAAATTGCCCGCCCCTTTCTAAAGGATTTTGCCTTTTTTTCCAAATTTCCTTTTCATTTTTTTAAAAAAATTTTTTTTTTTTAATGGACAAAAAAAGGGGAAAAAAACCCTTTTTAAAAATGTTTTGAAAT